AAGGAGAAAATATTGCAAGCAGCCAGAAAGAAACAATTTAAGTATCGTGGAAATACAATCAGGATGACACAAGATTTAGCAGCTTCTACATTAAGGGTCCAGAGGGCATGGAGTATGATATTCTGGAGGGCAAAGGAGATAGGACTACAACCAAGAATCAACTACCCAGGAAAACTGAGTATAATCCTTCAGGGGAAAAAATGATCATTCAGTGAAATAGGGGACTTTCAAGCATTCTTGATGAAAAGACCAGAGCTGAATAGAAAATTTGACTTTCAAATACAAGACTCAAGTGAAACATGAAGAGGTAAACAGGAATGAGAAATCATAAGAGACTTATTAAGGTTGAACTGTTTACATTCCTGCATGGAAAGATGATATTTGTAACTCATGAGTCCTTTGTCAGTATTAGGGTAGTGGGAGGGAGAAAAATTACATGTATGGATAGATAGATAGATAGATAGATAGAGAGATAGAGAGATAGATAGATGGAAGGCACAGGTTGAGTTAAAGATGGAGGGGTGATATCTGGAAAATAAATTAAGGGGTGAAAGAGGATTATACTAGGAGAAGGAGAAAGAGAGAGGTAGAATGGGGTAAATTATCTCACATGAAACAGACAAAAAAAGGCTTTTATAGTAGAGGGGAAATGGAGGAAGGTGAGAGGGAATGAGTGAATCTTATTCTCATAGGATTTGGCTTAAGGAGGGAATAACATACACAATTGGGTATGGAAATCTATCTTACCCTACAGGAAAATAAGGGGGAAGGGTTCAAGAAAGCAGGGAGATGATAGAGGGGAGGGCAAATTGGGGAAGGGAATAATCAGAAGTAAACACTTCTGAGAAGGGACAGGGTCAAAAGAGAGAATAGAATAAATGGGGTGCAGGATAGGATGAAGGGAAATATAGTTAGTTTTTCACAACATGATTACTATGGAAGTGTTCTGCATGACTACACATGCATAACCTGTATTGAGTTGCTTGCCTTTTCAATGAGGGTGGGTGGGGAGGAAGGGAGAAAATTTGTAACCCAAAGAAGAGATCGAGAGAACATTTGGAACTCAAAATCTTGTGGAATTGAATGTTGAAAACTAAAAATAAATAAATTAAAAAAAAAAAAGAATAAGTCATCCCAGACCAATCTCATTTCTTTTCTTTTTTTTTTGATAGGATTAATAAGGTAGTAGATGAAAAGAATACTGTGGGTGCTGTTTACCTAGGTTTTAGAAAAGAATTTTTGACATAGTATCTCATGTTATTCTTGTGGAAAAGATAAAGAGATGTGTACTAGATTATAGTATAATTAGATAGATTTAGAAGGGATGAGAGAGCCAAACTCCAAGAATGCCACTAATGGTTCCATTTAGACATTTCAAGAGCTCTTCAGTAGAGTACCCCAGAGATCTATGCTGGGCCTTGTACTGCTTAGAATTTGTATCAGTGACTTAAGTAAAATAATAGGTGGTGTGCTTTTATTTGCAGATGACATGAAACTGGGAGTGAGAGCTAACACACTGGAAAACAAAGTCCAGATCCAAAAAGATCTTGACTGGATGGGGTAGGGATTGGCAAACTACAGATGCCAGGTCAAATCCAGCTCACCAGCTAAGAATTCTTTTTTACATTTTTAAGTACAATAAAACTTAATTTTAAAATATAAAGAAAACTTTTAGCTTCCAGGCCATAAACAGGCACAGGCTACATTTGCTCACAAGTTGTGGTTTTCTCACCCCCTGGGGCTAGAGCATTGGGCCAAGTCTGAGATTTAATAGGCATGAGTTTAATAGGCATAAATATAAATATTTTTGTTCAGAAAATTTTTAGGAGTATAATATGGGGGAGACAGTTGTTTAGCAGCTGTTCTAAAAAAAGGATTTGTGGACTACAAGATCAATTTGAGTCAGCAGTATGAGGTAACTGACAAAATTTGTTCTTGGACTACATTAAGAGAAGCATAGCTTCCAGGAATAGGGAATTGATAGTACCACTGTATCCTGCCCTCATCAGACATCATCTGGAGTTTTGAGTTCAGTTATAAGCATTACAATTTAAGAAGGACATTAGTATTGTCCATAGGACAAGCAGGATGGTGAAGCCCCTTGAATCCATGTCAAATGAAGATTGGTTTAAGGAAGTGGACATAATTAGCCTATAAAAGAAAAGATTTTGGGGATATGTGATAGCTCTCTGCAAGCTTTTGAAGACATGTCATGTGAAAGAAAGGTTGTATCTGTTCTGTTTGGCACCAGAGGGCAAGACCACAAGCAGTGGTTAGAAGTTTTAAAGACAAATTTAAGTTTGATGTCACGGAAAAAAAACAAACAAACCAAAAACTAACGACTAGAGCTGTTCAAAAGTAGACAGGATTGTATTGAGAGATGGTGGGACCTTCCTGCTCCTTAGAGGTCTTCAAGCAGAGATTGGATAAACATTGAGGATGTTATTGTATGGATGGATTGGATGAGGTGCCTGCTGATGTCCCTTCCTGGTTTCACATTCTGTGATTTTGTGATTCATATGTCAGTTCCTTCAGGAAGCGTTTCCTGAACTTCCCCCATCCTTGCCTTTAGTCAATAATGATTTTTCCATCTTTGGTGTACTTTGTTTTCACCTCCCTAATGTACTTATCATATATGATTTTATATTACAGTAGTTATTTGCAATTACGTCACATTTCCCAACTTGACAGTAAGCTGAATGAAAGTAGGGATGTGTGTCTTCTCTCTCCCTACAGTGGATACTTAATAAACATTTATTAAATTTTAATCCAACTCTATCATTTTACAGATGAGCAAACTTGAAAAGTTAAGTTTCTCCTATAAAATATATAAAAACAAAGATGTAGGGTTTATGAACTGCACTAGTGAAGGACTACTAACAATGAGATTAGAGATCTATCTCATTATCTAAGTAATTATAATCAATGCCAATATATTTATAGTTTTACATTACTAGAGGCAAATGATATTTAACGTTATTTGTAAAACAGATATGTTGGAAGAGTGGCTATTTCAAAATAATTTATACTAGGATTTCCTTAATTCTCAAGTTCTGTCAGTGAATTTAAAATGTTGTTGTTGTTGGCAATTTTGAAGAAAATATCAAATGAATAATGTGGAGTTCTGTATTTAATTTGAAATAAATTAGTCTTTGGAAGTTTAAAAAAAAAAGAAAAGTTAAGTGAGTTAATTAAGTCACAAAGATAGAATCTGGGTAAAAGTTGCAGACCCTCATCCAGTTCATTGTTTTGTTTTGTTTTGTTTTTTCCTATTGCAATGTGGTTTCCCATCTGTATATAGCAATATTGAATAGGGTAGGGTTAGAATTACTTCCTTATACCAGACTCTCTCTCTTTTTTGAAAACAGTATTTTCTTTTTTTCCAATTACATGTAGAGATAATTTTTAACATTCATTTTTATAAAATTTTGAATTTTCAAATTTTCTCCCTCTTTCCTTGCCTCTCCTGTCCTCTCCCTCCCTCCTCCCTAAGATGGTAAGCAATTTGATATAGGTTATATATATGCAATCATGTAAAACATACTTCCATATTACAGACTCTCATTTTTCATTATTGTCCTAGACAGGAGAACTTCTGCTTGGATGGTAGCAGTAGTGAGCTAGGTGGGTGGCAAGGCAAATCCAGGCATAATGATGAAGTTTGACTTCAAGGTCTTAGACTACTTTACTTGCTTTTTCCTCTTAATACTCCTCTTCCTTTCAGGTCCCCTATACCTATATGTTCTTTCTACTCTCTCCATCTCTTGCAAACCCCCCAAAATCAAAACTTTACTCAGGAAAGAATGTAATAAACTTATTAACAATGAAGTGAAGGTGGCTTTTACCCCCTCTCCCAACAGTATTTGCATTCTAATGGAAAACACAGCTACTTTGGCTTAAGCTTAAGGAATGAAGTCCTAATTGTGAAATTTCAGATACCAACTGAGTAGGAAAATTTTAAGGATAAAAGGATGGTTTCCTGTGATCTTGAAATCTTGAATCTTCAAGTCTGCTTGTAACAGAAGGGGCAGGGGATTCCACTGGGAGTTTCCTGCATGAGTCGGGGCGGTGGTATCTGTCTGAACTTGGTATTTAACAAGGCAGGGGGCAGCCAATCTATGCTGTCCTTTGTCTTCAGTGTGCCATCTTTGGAGAGTGAGTCAGGTACCTACAACTGAATGATACTACCACCCTCTATTTGCTATGGGGTCCTCTGAGATTATTCGGTAACATGTTCCATAAAGAGGAAAGAAATCCTGCTTTCCTGGAATAAGGGGCTCCTAGATGACCTCCTTTGTCTCTTGGGAGGCATGGAGCAGTGGTGAGGATAGAAATTTCACATTATACCTTTAGAGGACCTGGGGTCTGAATTGGCTAGAATTTAGTCAAGAAGACAGAGCAGAGAGAGGCAAAGAGCCAAGGGACCAAAAGAATAGATGTATGTGATGTAAAGAGAAAGGACAACAATGAAAGCTAGATTGAAGGCACTGGGACAGAGGGGAAAAAAAGGAAGAAAACAATGGGGTCTAAGGAAGGGGAAAATGATAGGAAAAACAGTATCAGAGAGCAACATTTAGCCTGGAAATGGGGATAGCAAGGATAAAAATGAATGCCCTCAAGTAGCTTACATTCTAATAAGGGTAGAAAACACAGAAAGGGTAGTGGTAGCGGAAAAGGAGTATCTTGGTTTGGAAAGTTACAGGGATGTTAAGTAGAACTGTAGGCAAATAGATCGACATACCCCTTCTAGTAACAATGGCAGTACTGATTTTCTTATGGTTCCAGAACTCGAAAGCAAGGGAATAGTGGTGGCAGGACAGCAAGACAGACAGAAAGGTGGTTATCAAGATGTCCAGACTAAAAAGATAGGGGAGTGGAGGGCCAAGGGTAACTAATGAGAAGTCAGAGTGATGGGTGGAAGGAATGGGGTAAAAATAAAACCTTTACTTCTTGTGGAAGGTGTGACATTGTCCCCTTTCTCCCTGGATGCCTCTTCTTAGGCTCACTGGAAGGGGTGAACATCACGAGCCCAGTGCGTCTGATCCATGGTACTGTGGGGAAGTCAGCTCTGCTGTCTGTGCAGTACAGTAGCACCAGCAGTGACAAGCCAGTAGTTAAGTGGCAGCTGAAGAGGGACAAGCCAGTGACGGTGGTACAATCCATCGGCACTGAGGTCATTGGCACCCTGAGGCCCGACTACCGTGACCGAATCAGACTCTTTGAGAATGGCTCCCTTCTCCTCAGTGATCTTCAGACATCTGATGAGGGCACCTATGAGGTAGAGATTTCCATCACTGATGATACTTTCACTGGAGAAAAGACCATCAACCTCACTGTGGATGGTAAGACTCTGTAGCTGCCTGGAGAGAAGGAGTGGGTTAGAGACTGAGGGCCAGGGATTGATACTGAGCCTGTCTAGGTGGTAGAACAGAATGAGGAGCTTCAGAATAAACCACTCAGAAATTTTGCCGGGTGGGGTCAATTCAGTGCACAGAGGCCACCCACATGAAGAGAGACCAAGAACTGCGGATTGGGTGGTTGGGGGGCTAAAAACCAGGTCCATTGAGCCAGGCCAGGTGGGACAAGACTGAATTTAGCCAAAGCTTCTCTTTTAAAAGCTAAATTATTTTAAAATGCAAAGCCCAGTAGCCCCGAGAAAGGGTGAGGGCTCTGGGGCTTCAATCAAAGGAGAGAGAAGGAAGATATTGGACTATATGATCCCTGAAGGGTTCTATCAGCTCATAGACTCAGTAACAGGAAGAAATCTGGTTGATCAGAAGCAGAGAGTGAGAATTGTGACGCTCCCAGGTCTCTAACCCACAGTATTCTTACCCTTGCTCTGCCCAGTTCCCATCTCAAAGCCACAAGTAGTAGTGGCTTCATCTACTGTCCTGGAGCTCAGTGAGTCCTTCACACTGAACTGTTCCCATGAAAATGGTACCAAAGCCAACTATACTTGGCTGAAGGATGGCAAGCCACTCAGCAATGACTCAAGGATGCTCCTGTCCCCTGACCAAAAGGTGCTCACCATTACACGAGTGCTTATGGCAGATGATGACATCTATAGCTGCTTGGTGGAGAACCCCATTAGCCAAGGTCGAAGTGTCCCCATCAAGCTTACTGTATATCGTGAGTATCCTTTCCTGGAAGAGCTCAGAGCTAAGCAGGGCAGGTGTCCCACAGCAAGAGACAAGGATCATCCCAGCCTGGGTACCACAAGACCTCATGACCAGATTTGTGTCATACCAGATTTGTATGTATAAAGGCAAAGAGCAAACTCTACTCATTAAATACTTGATAATTATACTGATGAATAGAAAAAGAAAGGAATGGGTACCTGGCAAGCAGCGACATCATGTAGTTGTCCTCTCTGGTATTCCCCACTCCCATCATCCCTACATTGAATTTTTTAAGTTAATTTTTTTAATAAATAGAAATTGATTTTTCTCTCCTTCCTCTGTCTCTCAATTGAAAAAGAAAAAAAAAACAAACCAAGACTCTTGTGACAAATAAGCATAGTTAAGAAAAACAAATTCCCAAATTGGCCTTGTCCAAAAAGTATGTCTCAGTCAGCATCCTAAAGTCCATCACCTCTGTGAAGAGATGAGATGCATGCTTCATTACTCATCCTCTGGAATTGTTGTCCTACAGTGAAATTCTATTGTAGAGAAATTCTTTTCACCACCCTTTCCCTGCATTTTTTGCTGTGTCAATCTATAACAGTTCTCACCTCCCTAACTGTCTATCTCCAGGGAGAAGCTCTCTCTACATTATCCTGACCACAGGAGGCATCTTTCTCCTTGTGACTTTGGTGACAGTCTGTGCATGTTGGAAACCCTCCAAAAAGTCTGGGTAACTACTGAATTTTGCATCCTGGGCCAGAGATAACACCTTAACATTCCCTTCTGCTCCTCCACCTCCAAGGACCCTAAACCCATTCAATGCCTATAACGTAGCATCTCCCTATTAATAAATAACACTGCTGAAATGAAGTATCTTCCTGTTCTCACAACCCACTCTTCTTTCTTCATTACTAACTAATCAACCAAAAACAGCCTTCCTGTCCCAAGACTTCTCCTAAGCCCACCAGGTCCTTGTATCTTCCAGCCCTTCTCCTACCCACCCTATGGCTCTACTCAAAGGATTCCTGGGCTGTTTTGCAGAAAGAAGCGGAAGCTGGAAAAGCAGGGCTCTCTAGAGTATGAAGATCAAAACGATGACCACCTGAAACCTGAAGGTGAGAGGAAGAAGCTGGACTTTTTCTTCCCCATCCTATCCAGCTCAGGTGAACAATAGAGCAGCAGTGTAACACAGGTGGATCTCCCAAGGGCTGGGGATGGGGGAGCAAGAGTCCAGACAATTCAAGATTGGTCAACGTTTCAAGGGAAAGTTTCTCCTGGGTTTATATATAGCAGAGTCTGCTTTGGAAAGAATTGGAAATCAGTTGAGTAGTCACACATTCCTGGAATATCAGAGACATGGCTACTATTTTTAGATTAAGAGGGGGTGTGTGGATTCAGGAGAGTAGTGAAGGACCTCTGAGCTAGAGTGAGTGATTTGGAAAGTGCCAAGTGTGAAGAGCACTCTGATGCTGGACATAGGGTCTGCAGTGCGCTGGGATGGGTAGGTAATTCCCTCAATCTCTCCTTTGTGCAGTAGAGACCCTCCCCCGAAGTGGAGAACACGAGCGGAAGAACCCTGTGGCCCTGTACATCTTGAAGGATAAGGTGAGGAAGCTGTGGCCAGAGAGTTCCAGGGGGCCAGGCCTGCTGGGAAACCAGCAAGGACTTGAATGGGATTTGAACTTGGTGGTAGAATTGGGGGCAGGGGTGCTATGAATCACAGAGAATTGGATTGGATGGAGGTGTGAAGCTTCCAAGCAGCTGGTTAAGCTTGTGTCACTGATCATTAGCATCCCATTGCAGGACCCACCAGAAGGGGAGGAGAGCTCTGCCCCCGACCCTCGGAGCACCACTGAGCCGGGCCCGCCGGGTTATGCCATCTCTTCCACTGCCCCAGGCCGCTCCCCCGGGCTGCCAATCCGGTCAGCCCGCCGCTATCCCCGCTCTCCTGCCCGCTCTCCTGCCACTAGCCGAACGCACACCTCTCCCAGCCGGTCCCCGAGCTCCCCCGGCCGCTCCCGCAGCTCCACACGCACCCTCCGGACTGCGGGCGTGCACATGATCCGGGAGCAAGAGGAGGCCGGCACCGTGGAGATCAGCGCCTAAGCCCTCCCAGGACCCTGCCTCCACCTGATGGGACCCTAGTCTCCCGTTTGGGGGCGAGGCCAGGATAGCCTCGCAGAGGGCAGAGAGTTTGCAAAGGGAAGTCGCGTGTGTTTGTGAGTCAGAGCGTGTGTGAAGAGGTGTGAATGAGTGTGACTGACCGTGAACCTGCGCCAATGTGTGACTGAGCGTGCCTGAGTGGTGTGTAGGGCATGTCCGTGCTTCCCGCTTAACAGCTGGGTTCCTGGTTGACTGAAGCAGGTGGGTGTGGATTGTGTCCTCTTAGGACCCTCCTATAGATTATTAAATTCCAGGCCTGCCCCTACAGCAGCATTACAGAGACTAATGACAGTAATCCTAATACTCTGGACTGGTCTGTGCCCCTCCTCTAGGCTCCCAGGTTTTTACCCTTCACCTCTCCTCCCACATTCCTGGCCTGCCCAGCTCTGGGAGCTCTTTTTTTTTTTTTTTAAACTAAGCAGGACATTGAAACACAGAACAGACATATCAGTTAGCCCAACATCACAGAGCAGTTTAGGACTAGACAAAATGACAAGAGCTTTAGTTAAGGTAGGAACTATGTTCCCATCCCAAGAGGAAACCAGAGGCTGCTCACATCATGAGGGAAATCAATAGGTGGTTGGCTTTTATACCAACCTATACAACTCCCCATTCCCGTCCCCAGGAAGGTGGGTATTATAAGGTGGGTGTTTTCCTTCTGGGACTGTCATAGCTCAGGCTAGCGGTTCTGCATAGGAGAAGGTATATCCCTTCGAAGAGACTAGAACTGTGGGTTCTGCTGTAGGGTGGAAAGAATTACTTTTCCCAGTGCCTCTATCATGGGGGCAAGTTTCTTCTCTCATTAGACTTCCTCATTTGTATGTAAACCCATTCCCAAGGGTTACCTGTAACATGGTGAGTTTAGATTAGATTATCTCTAAGGTCTCTTTAAATTCAAACGACCTATTCGACTACGAGTCTATGGTAGGTGAAGTGGGGGAGCCATTGGCTAGTGTTTGACCCCAATTCACCAACAGCCTTCTTGGCAACTACAACCTCCTGACTTGGGTCCTACAAAGATCAAAGGACTCAACCCCTGATCTTGAGAAAGGCATGCCTTATTGTCAATCCTCTCCCAACAGGCCCTTTCTCTACTTCCTCGAAATAACACAGGGCAATCCTTCTGGTCCCTGTTAAAGAAGGGGTTAGAGACTTTATCCTTTGGGAGCAAAGATTCTACACCACTCCCTAAGAAATATGTCTATTTCCCATTGAACCTTCCTCTCCCCACCCCAACTTCCATGTCTTCCCTCTCCCAACAAAACTTGTAAACAATCAGAATCCCTGGGAAAGAAACTAGAGGCCCCCTATTGGACAGACCTTGCTAACTCTTTTTCTCGTATTTGGATAGGAGAAAACAAAGGTTCCAGTCTTGGGAGTGGATTCCCAATGACTGTTTCCTGAGAGGTTGGGCAGATCATCTTCTGACTCTTGGTCCCCTGCCACTCAATCTCCCTCTCTCAGACACCTGGGTCCTTGGGGAGCAGGGCAAGGGTATCTTCTCTAATTGAACTAACAACTCAACAGTGAGGGACTAGGCTAGGCCCTCATGTAGTCGGCCTTGTGTTTCTGCCACCTATACCATCCATAGAGAGGCAATAATCTGCTGTGTGTGGAGAGAATGCAATTAAAAAGCTGAAAGTGAGGGAAGCCCCCTCAAAGGAGCCAGGCTCTGTGCATTCTGTCTGTCCTCCCCTACACTTCCAGGGTCTGGAACACTCCCATTGTGCCTTTTCTATCACAGCCACCAGTGAAGAATGCAGCCTTGCCCTTGGGCAAACTACCTCCCAGAACACTGGCTCTTCCTCCAAGGACTGATTCATAGGACTCAAGCCCTTTGGTCCTAGACCTTTCACTTTTTACTGCATTTAAAACTGATCCTAACCCCAATTTCAGGCACCAAGATTCCTAGATCTTGACTTCTGAGCCCGCAGGGCTCCCTGGGTTCAGAAATCCCCAGTACCTAATACTTAATCCTTCGATGTTCTGGGTAAATACCAAAGCATTATCATGTAAAAATTCAGTGTAATTACGCTAGACAAGGGTTATCTTTGAAATTCAAAACAATAGTTGGTTTTTTTTTTCCTTTATGGCCCCTAACTTCAGTCACGTACTCTTGGAGCTGGAGACCCACCCTGGGCTGCAGCAGCCCTTGCGCCTTCTCCTCTACTATCACTATATTGGGCAACTCCTTCAAGTTTGTTGCTTCTCAAAGTCCTGCGCTCCTCCTTACAATCCTGTGCCATGTTCACCGTTGAGCTAGTCTAGAGGGTGTTTGTGCCAAGGCCTTATGGGCAACAACAGTAGAACCTGGGATAGAATCCAGCCCTATACTTGTCTTTTTGTTTGTTTGTTTGTTTTTGTTCTGGGAAAGGCAATTAGGGTTAAGTGACTTACCCAGGGTCACACAGCTAGTAAGTGTCCACCCACCTGCCCCACTATACTTGTCTTAAATGGCACTATCCCAGGCTTTTATTCCTCTCCCTTACTTCTGATTCTATGCTCCCCACAACAAATTTAAAGAAGGCTAACCCTTGATGTGGCACCTACTGTCATAAGAACTGATTCCTCTAGAACTTCCAGGTTAGTCTGTCCATTCATCCCAGCAAACCGAGGGCACATACTTTTGATTCTCCAAATCAACCCTGATTTGGAGAAGTGAATGTTAGCTTCTAGGGTAGGAGGTGTAGCCTTTGTCCTCTTCTTTTTTGCCTTGTTCCCAGACAACTCTACATTCTCCTCCCACTCTTCCCACTTTTACTAAGCCTAACCTAATTATGCCTCAAGCTGGTAGTATATAGGAATAGGGAAACAGACCAAGAAGGCTTTTTAACAGCTTTAATTCCACTCACCTACTTCTGGAGGCAGGAGGGGAACAAGCATAAAAGTACCCATCCTACCATCTTCTATGTCTCCCCTTTTCTTTTCCTTCCTTCCTTCCTCTTCCCTTAGAGAGGCAGCAGTGATATAGTGGAAAGAAACTGAACCTGAAGGCCTCAGTTCAAATCTTAGCTTTGCCACATTCCATCTTATTTGACTTTGGGCAAGTAATTTAACTTTTTTGAGCCTTAGTTTCTTCACATGTTGAAAAAAAATGGGGATGGTAATACTTACACAGTGCAGGTGTAGCACCTAAACTCATTCTCACCAACACTTCTCTCTCAGGGTTGTCTCAGTCACCCAACTTGAACTCATAAGGCAGATTGGAAGGTTCGCAGATGGGGTGGTCACTCCTATAACCAACTCAGGGTTCTAGGAGTAACCCTGGTGGTGGAAATATACTTCTGCCACTATGCACTATAGCTCCTGAAGCACTAGTGTGCTTCCCATTTAACAAATCAGCCAGTAGGGCTCTATTAACTCTTAATTAGAAATATTTATTAAACACAGGACAAAACAAGAATAATAATATACCAGTCCACCCCTCAATCAAGGACATGGGACATATTTTCCCACCAATGCACAATATCCATAGGAATAGAATGGGCACAAAATTGCAGAACTACAGCAGGTAAATGTGTAGAAAACACATTGCTGGGGCAGCTGACAACTTTGTTCTATGGACTTGATGTTCTTTGTCTTCCTCAGGAACAGTCTGTACAATTCACTGCACAGTAGGGCTGCTTCTTTGCTAGCTGCTCTACATGGGCAGCTCCTCTTTCTGGGCTACAAGGTGATGTTATGTAATTTCAGCAAAAGCAGAAACCCTAAGCCTGGGATCTGCTGTTTTTCCAGTCCAGCTTCCTTATCTGAGCTCTGAGAGATTCTGCCTCTCAGGCAGTTAGATGGCAATTCAGGGAAAAGCAAAAGCCTTTTTCATCCTCCAGTTAGTTCTACTAAGCTGCAGTTCGTCAGTGCAAGCTCTGGGATTTCTTCCTAGACTTGACCAGAGATCTCTCCTGAGCTCTGACTTCTGCAAGGTCTCAACTCAACTCATCCAAAACAAGGTCTCTTCAGTGAGATTACTCACTTCTGCCTCAAGGAGATCAATCAGAATCTACATTTCTACCGCCTCCATAACTAGGTAATATATATTTGTCCCATAGTCACCGAGGAGTTCTAGGAATCAGTTTTCTAGTTAGTTCTAAACCCTCACATCTGTTGTATACAAATTAGATACTGAGAAACAGGACACTTTGGCCATATTTAACATGACTAAATACCTTTTCTGGGTGCAAGATACCTTTTTTTTCCACTTTTTTTCACAACTGTCCTTGTTTATGTCCCTTGTTCACATCTGAAAGGGACACCTCTTTCCATTTTCATTACCGACTTCACAGGGATGTTGTGAGGAGCAGATGAGATATCATGTATAAAACACTTTTAACTGTAAAACACTATATAGATGTGCACTATTATTCCATTTTCATTTCCTGGCCCTTTTCTTCTCTCTTTTGCCTTTTTCCCAATGCCTATAATTATTGCCATGCATGGTCTAGATTGGGAGAATCCAGGGGCATTGGGGAAGTTGAGAAAAGAATTATTGGTATTTCCCCCTTCTGTCCCTGTCCCCCCCCCACCAACTTTGCCCCTCACTTCAAGTCTTGTTCAACCTACCAGAAGTCTAGTCTTCAGAAACACCATTCTTGGAAACTTTGTCCAGTGATCTGGCATCTTGGAAATTTGCTCAGCCCTCTGAGCAAAGGTCATCTCTTCTTTTTCCATTGATAACCCCACCTCCCTCTTGCTATGTTGGCTGATACTCTGAAGACTGACAAACATGAAAAGAAGAAATTGAATAGGAAGGCCCTCCAGTCAAGGAAGGAAGACTGGGGGGTAGTTGACTATTCCAACCAAAGACTGGAAACCCTGTGTTATTTCTGAGACTGAGTGTGAGAGACAGGTATCTCAAAACTTCAGGGAACCTCTCTCCTGGCCCAGCTCTCAGAATGACCTAAATATTCCACCCTCTACTTGCTTAGCCTGATCAAAAGATACCCTCC